GAATGAAAGTCACCACCAAGGATAACACTTCTCAACTGGACAACAAATACTCCCATATCAAGCCAGACATAAGAAAAGGTAATTTAGAGAACTGCAAAGGAAGGAATCCTACACGTCATCAACCTTTTTACTGATAGCCAGGAACTGCCACTATGCCAACTCTCAATAGAAGTAGTCGAGATATGAGATTATTTTCATCTTAGTACAAATAAAATTTCTAAGCCACCTGTTCTACGTAAGGTTAAGAAGACAGTCAACAAGTTCTGCCTTCCATGCCTCCACCAAGCTGTGCTTATCACCTACATGTGTTTCTACCCCAACACTACTGCAACACACCATAATACTCCATAGTTATTAACAGGTTGCTGCTTCAGGTAGCTGTAAGAAAAAAGCAGAATTAAAGACAAAGTTTCTTTTTGCGAGAAAGTGGTTTCAAAAAACGAAACAACCAATGTTAGGAAAGACTGCCACAGGTTAAAGACAGCAGGTAGCCAGAATTTAAATACAAAGCAGAAAGTTTTATGTAACGTAATCAGCTGCACTATACAATCAAATTTCCTAGGTTGCCAATAGATTACAGAAAAATTAAGGTGGTGCACCATGCAACACAGTTGTTAATAGGGACCTTACATGGTTGTATTGCAGTGACAGCTGCAGACTAACTTGCCCAGAAAACTTTTATAACACAAAGAGAATAACACATCATCACACACAACTTCTCACAGGAAAATGCACCAACTTCCTAGTAGGGGAAGAGGATTTGATAGTTAATGTCAGTAGCAATCTAGAAAGCCTTGTCTTGTCAGTCATTTTTAAGGTAAGAAAGATGAGATAGAGCTCTCCTTTTCCAGCTTAATGAATCAACTAATAAATCATTTTGCAAAGCCTAGCCACAACCGTATTTAAGTACTCCAAGACTGTCTCATAAGCAAGAATCAAACAGCTCTCACTCCTGATTTTTGGGGCTGCAGGAAAAGGCAACCTGTCCAAAGCATAAATGCATCATAATTTGAACAATAAATTTTGAACTATCACCTATATTACTATATACCCTCACTCAATGAAGAAGGAAATGCCTAAAATAATAAAAAAGGCTTCCTCTATCACCCATAACTCTCTTAATCAAAATTAATTCAACAATTCCCCAAGAACAGATCAGTCCAAAACTGACTCAAGGCTGAAGCAGAGGCTTTATTCAGGAGAGACCTGAATAATAATAAGGCAGTGGATCCAAGCAGACAGTCCAGGCCACTGAAGGGGGTAGTGCCCCCAAATCCTTTCCTTGCTCTCACTGTACCTGCCAATATTCAATCTCAAGATGACACAGTTCAACTCACCAAATCAAGAGCAAATCTGCACAGAAACACAGCAAGTACTTTGCTGCTGGTTTAGCAAGCTGAACTAGCTCAACCAGAGGTTGAGCACTGCCAAAGACAAGGAGGTAGGAGCACACTGCCAAAAGGATCCTGCAGTGCTAGACCATCATTTACAGGTCTTGCTAGATCGGTTGAGTTCATGAAAATATACCCCTTGGGTTTAACTGGAGATCACTGCACACATCTAACCTTAAAGCCAAAGTTAAGGAGGAAGGAAAGGGAAATCCCACTGACACTCAGTGCAGCTGAAAACAATTACATATTTAGATCATTCCATCACAGTTTAACTTCTCCATACTAAACTACAGGTTCATTTCTTTTTTCGGTGGATCCAAATCAGAAAACAGCAGTTTTCTGGAAGCCTGCATTGCTTTATGAACACAAAGAGACCTGCATGAGTTTCATTATAAAAACAACAATGCGCTGGCTCATAATTGATGAACTTTCTAGGACACAGAAAACGTGAAACATGGTAACATGTTTCATGACAATAGTAATATTTAGTAGTAACATGGAAATATTAAACAGTAAAAGCTCAGCTTCCCTTTTAAAGAGGCGAAGAACAAAGCTGGAAGAAAATACCATTTAGCTTCAAAAAGTCTCTAAAGACAGCTTGAAATGCTGTCCAAAACTCTCTCGGGTCTCTCTACCAAACTATTATCATTGTCCATTTGTACTCCAATCTCCACACCACTGTTCTTGATGCTTCTCCACCAAGTGTGTTGGAAGAAGGATCAAGCTTAAAGAAACATCCCTGGAAACATTTTTGTTTGTATAGGTTAAATATCCTGAACAGAATACATACCTCAGCAGTTAACTTAAAAAGGTGACTTACAAATTAGATGTAGCAGATGCAATGCATTTAGGATTAAAGAGAAACTAAAAGAAGATTAGCATCCCTGATGTCAAGTGGTATCTTTGACTCAATATTACATTATTTATTCTTAAGTGTCATTCATGGCTTAAGTGTTACACTTCCTTGATGTGTACTGATCTGCAGTGGATTACTGACGCAAGAATTATCCCAGTATCTAACAGACATGGTTACTTAAAACAAAGCCCTGGTGGTTCTTTCACTCATTTTAGGAAAAATATAGCATTTTCTCATCAAGAAAAGCAGCAGACCTTAAAAAAGATGAGGAGAAAAAAAAACATAAATTGTAGCCAGCTGCTACATTCACACAGCAGAGTTTCACTAAATTCAACTCAATACTCTAATATGACTTAGCCAGAATGAAAATTATAGTCATCAGGGAAATTTTTAAGGGATACTTAAATAATTGTGAGCTAACGGTTAAAACTGAAGTTATCAGCATCTGTATTACGCAGAGGATCACACATAGGTTGGTCTTGAACAGGTCAACTTCCTCTCCCCCTCCTGTCCCCAAGAACAGGAAGGCATGCAGAGTGTGATAGTTTGCCCAGTTTAAGGCACAATTACACACTGCCCTTTCAGGCAACACCAGCTCTCTCCCCTCTGTGACAGGCACAGGACACAACTTCTGATTCTGAAAAGCTCAAATGATCACTTGACAGGCTGTCAGCCTGTTCCTATGTCAACTTTGTACACAGACAAAACAATTACTTCCAAGTGAATAGTTTCAAAATAAATTCCAGAGCAGCAAGTATTACAGATATGAGACAGACCATCTTCCCCGTTCTCATTTAAAGCATTTTCCTTAAGCGTGATTTAACCTATTTCAGCTAGTTCCCTAAGTTCACTTTACTAATATATTATATATAGAGAATATACAGTGGTATCCTAAATTGTTAACACTGTAAAAGGACACTGAAATTAATTCTAACAATGTGTATGTTTTACTCTATTCACAGAAAAAAGCATTTCACACTGTAATGGGTATGAAAGTCTCAGAGCTCAGAATTCACAACCTCAAAAACCCAAATTTCTCAGTTACTCTGTATCACACCAGTAACTTTAAGCATCTAAAAAAAAAAAATCTTCAAACACTCAGCTCAAAGCTATTTTAGTAATTTGAAATAATTATTCTATTCCCTATTTTCAATGAAGTTCCAGGTTTCAGATTTTTATTTTTCAGAAGTGTGGCAAGAGATGACTAAGAGAACTTGTAAGAATCACATGTACCATTACTAAACTACATAAAGGCCTGCTCTGTGAGTGAAGAGAGAGAATTCTGCAGTTACTTTGCATGGAAAAAACAAATGTAAGATATCAGAACCCAAACACAGTAGTAATTTAGGATACAGATTTTCAGAGACATTGCTCCCCACAATACCTTGTAAAGATAGCAACTGCTTGTAAACAGCAAAAACTTTGATATGAAATACTCCTTGTATGCCTAAAGAAACTATTGTCCAAACATTATTTGAAACATAACTGATTATTAAAATTCATAAAAGGGTGAAACTAAAATACACACACACACACTTCTCCATGTAATTATAACAGGACATATTAGATCTGTTAAGTCACAGTCAACAAATAACCACGCAGACTTTATTCTCCTGTTGGTGTTGACGTTTTACACAGAGGAGAAGTGCTGGGGCACTGGCTTAGGACACAGCAGATTCAGGTATAATTCCTTGCTCATCCACAAGCTTCCTGCACAGCCTTACTCACATCTCTAGCTCCCTGTGCCCACTTTGCCCATCCCACTTTGAATGGTGGGCAAAGAGCAGGAACATTTCAAAGTATTCACATCATGGCAGCTGAGGCCCAAGCACACAAAATAACACCCACCCACTTTTTGACACATGAAATAGAAAGCTGACAATCGTTATCATCTGTGTTTACGTATATTGGGAGTGACACACGTTCACTTGGCATGACAAATTTCAAATTGTTCTCTGAATCCTGTAAAAGCAAGGACCTGAAGAAACAATAGCTGTTGTTATGAACAATTTGTTCATAAATATGGTGACCTGAGAGATCAAATGCATGCACTGTCCTGCATCCAATAACGACAGGTAAGGAGTCTCTCTCTCTCTCTCTCTCTGTCTCTCTCAAGTGCATCAGTGGTTCTTTCGTGCAAAAGCAACTTTTCTCTGTTAATTATCTGATATTTAAGACTCAGTTCACTGCACCACTCCCATTTAGAAACAATCCTAGGATCAGCCCACACTTCGAAGTCACAATAAAGGCCTAATACTGCAGTGAACGCTTCAGCCATGCAAACAAAGCTAGAGGGATCCTGGAAGCAGGGATTTGACACCATCATAATCACAACAGGCATTAGTGTGTCCAGCAAATTCTGACCTGAAGCAGCAGGTGAAGGAGGCCCAGGGAGGGAACGCCAGCCCTCATTCCCGCACGATCTCCAGCGATCGCATCCCCGCACAGGGCTCGCACACAGAACTCCCGGCGGGGGCACCGTATGTGGAGCAGCCCCAGCATCGACCCCGCGCGGTGCCCTCGCAACGCCCTCGGCCCAGGCCCGCGCTCCCCCTGCCCAGCCGCTCCCTGGTTCCCTGGGAGCGCGGTGGAGCCGCGGAGCCCCGGTCCCGAGGCCGCGGGGCGGGGGGACCCGGCGGGAGGGGCGGCCCGGCCTCTGCCCCCCGCCCCCGCCGCGGCCCCCGCACTCCGGCGGGCGGGCGGCGCCGAGCCCCCGCCGCTCCCCTCCCATCCCGGCGGGGCAGCCCCGGTACCTTGCGGACCCCCTTGTAGATGTAGAAGTAGAGCTCTCGGCCCACATTGAAGCAGAGCCGGTCCCCGTTGCCGCTCTGGTCGTTGACGTTGACGAAGGAGACACGGACGGGGTTGGAGCCCTGCGAGTTGAAGGGCACGCGGTTGGGCCGGCTGTACTCCGAGTGGCTCAGCAGCTTGTACAGCCCCTCCCGGGTGGTGAACTGGGTCTTAATCTCGTTCATCTCCTTCCCTCCTCCCTCCGCCGCCATCTTGGAAAGGAGCGCTCATCCTGCCCCAGTGCCCGGATGTGCCCACACTGCGCAGCCGCCGGCGCGCGCGCGGCCCCTGCGCGCGGGGGCGGTGCGAGGGGGCGGGGCCGGCGGGGCCTGTTTACCGCGCGACTGCGCGCGCGCTAGGCTCGCGCGCCCGGGGGCGGGGAAGGGGGCGGGGCCTGTGGGCTGGGGGCGGGGCCAGGAGGGGAGAGTCACGGGGCCCGGGAGTGCGTCAGGCTGGGAGGGACAACGGTGGGATACCTGGTCCAACCTCCCTGCTTAAGCAGGGTCATCCCAGAGCACACGGTGCAGCGTTGAGTCCAGGTGGTTCTTGGATATCTCCAGTGAGGGAGACTCCACACCCTCTCTGGTCAACCTGTTCCAGTGCCCGATCACTGCCCAGTAAAGAAGTTCTTCCTCGCGTTCAGGTGGAACTTCCTGTGCATCAGTTTCTGTTCGCTGCCTCTTGTCCTGTTGCTCAGCACCACCGAGCAGAGCCCGGCTCTGTCCTCTTGGCACTCCCCTGTTAGATATTTATACACATTGATGAGGTCCCCTCTCAGTCTCTTCTTGAGGCTGAACAGGCCCAGCTCCCTCAGCCTTTCCTTGTAAGAGAGATGCTCCAGTCCCCTCATCATCCTCATTGCCCTCCGCTGGACCCACTCCAGGAGCTCCATGTCTGGACACAGCACTCCAGATGTGGCCTCACCAGGGTCACCCAAGACGGTGGCGCTGTGGGGCAGCTGTTGAGGGGGGCAGGGGAGAATGGGGTCGGCTCCAGCTGGCAAGTGTGAACATGGGCTTTGCAGGGGCTTTGCAGGCCCGCAGGGGCCAGTTGCCTCAGGATGGGGTGGAGTGGTCCCCGCATGGGGTGAGGTGATCCCTGCCACCACTGGAGGTGCTGATCAGAGCTGGGAGGTGTCCGTGTGTATGTGCTGGGGCAGTGCCGTTTTTGGGGCAATGGCTCCCAGGTAAGAGCCCCTGATGGAGACAGTACCTCCATCCCTCCAGCTTTGCACCAGCCTCCAACCTGCTGCAGGCAGAGCCAGGCTGGGGAGTCAGCCTGAAGTGTTAACCTGAAAAACTGGTTGTTCACCTCATTGTTCTGATCATCCTGCAACCATACAGCCAGCTGTGTTGTATAGTGAACCTGATCAGTGTCAGATGGGGGTGGCACAGGGTTAGAAAGGATTGTATTCACTGGGCAGGGAGTCAGGACTGTTTCTTCAGGCAGCAGATTCAGCTGAAAATTTGTCTGACTACAGCCTCATGATTGACTCAAACTGATCTAACACTGATCCAACCGTAAAATAGGGCTTTGACCTGTCCTCTGTCTTCAGGAAGATATTTCCATTACCTCCTTTGCATCAGTTCTAGTAATCATACAACCATGGGGTGAGTCAGATCCACTTGAAAACTAACACACACAAAGAAATTATGGGTTCTCAGGGAAGCAAAGTGTTGATCAGCAACCAGGCTGATCCAACTCATCACAGAATTGCTAGAGCCAAAATAAGGAAGGAGTTAGGAATGTGCAAGTAGGGGAAGATACGCAGCACAGAGTTAGGTCATCTTATATTAAAAATAAAAGGAAAAAATACTTTCAAGGTACAATTTCCTGCTGTAGCTGTGTTGATCTAATGTAGCTAGTACCAAGGGCATTGCCCTGCTTTCCTCTTTCTATCCGTGGCTATCTGCTGCTTCACCAGTAGCAGTGCTCATCTGAACTTATGATGAGCCATTTCTGATGGATAAGTGGACAGAGAATTAATATCCCTGCAAATGTGAAATGAATAGGGTTAAAGGAAAAGCAGTGACTACGTAAGGGAGAGGACAGAAATGCACAGCAGAGCCAGAGGGAAGCAGGACCTCCCTTTCTTTCCACTAGATCAGCTCAACTGAAGAAGTCCACTCAGACACCAGGGGGTTAAAGGGATTTAGTTTCAAGCCAATTTATTTCAAAGAGATTTTGTTTGCAGCTAAATACTGTCTTGCTGCTAACCATAAAATATTAGTATAAGGTAGCTCATAAAAGACATGAAACAGCCAAAGATCTCCAGAACAGAGTATGTATCTGAGTGAATATCTGAAAAAGTACAGATAATTAGACTTCCAAAAGGCCAGGTATTGAAGACTTTCTTGAAATTCTTAAGATAAAGCCAACCAATAATGACCAAAGATCTTGTCAGCTTACCAGCCAGCCCTGCCAGATGGTATTGATGACCTCCTAAAAGCACATAAAGTAGGTGAGCAAACCTGTAATTATTTTAAAAATCATCTCAAGAGTGGTTATTTCATACAGAAATTTTATGAGTGTACTTCCAGAGAGAAGGTCAGAATATTTTCAGTCACCAAAGAAGAGCAAGAAGTGCAAGGATCTCTAAATAATAATATTCAAAACAGACAAGGATGTAACAACAACAACATAATAAAAAAAACCCAGAAGTGTTGCTCCAAGCAGACATACTCTCTCTGTCTTATTCATTACACAAGGACAACATTGGATAGATCACTATGAAGAAGAAAGCAGGCAACTTTGGTAGAGGGACTGTGTGGAATGCAAATCGTACTGAAACCGCAGCAGGCCATCCATCACTGATGGAATGAGTGTGATCCAAAAAATAAACAAAGTTAACAAGTACCTAGTTATCAGCAGTACACGATGGTGCAGAAAGTCAAAGAATTGTTGTAGTGTTTAACATTTACAAGAAACATCAATAAAAGCTGCTGAGAGATTCCACATAGAATCCAAGACAAATATTCATTTGAAAAACACAGCTGCAAGTCACAAGAACACTATTGTACAGCCCCATCAACAATGCTCATCAAATGCTAGGGGGAAAAGAGATTACAGAGATAAGTCTTATGAAAAAATTCCCTGTACCACTTGTAAGTTCTTCTGTTTCAAGCTAACCAGTGATGATAGTTCTGGAATGATCCCATCAGGACACCCCTAGATGAGTTGTTTTTGTATGCACCACACAACCAATAAACTGAAGTCAGTCACAATCACTGCTCTATTGGGCCTTTACTTCTCACAAATGTTTTGGCAAATTGGAAAACAGACATGAGCAAAATTCACTAATGTTAATAAAGTAGTGTGGAGATTGCTTTATGCAGGGCATACATTGGTCCTGCAACTTTTCAAAATGTAATATTAATAGTGCTTTTACTGCAATCCAACTACAGTTATGAACAAAACTTTCCTGTGCTTGAATTTGATTGCCATCTGTTACTTTCCAAAAAGTGTAACAAATTATGTTAGTTATGCATTTGCCAGCTTTTCTGAGACAAAAAATAAAAGAAGATGGTGGTTACACCCATATTCCATCACGCAAACGGTACCTATTCCAGTGTGCACTGCCTGCAGATTATGATGTAGGAATCAGGAGACCATCTCTGCACCGTCTGTTAACTGTAGTGGGTCTGCCAAGTCTTTCTGGGTCTTCTGATCCCCAAACTAATTTAGGTATTTAGTGTGTGACTGAACTAAGAGTCAAAAGAGTCAAAAGCTCTGCAATGTGTCAAATTTTAACAACTTTTTTAGTGTGTGTGAATTACTAACAGGCAGAGGCTACAGATCTATAAGTGACACATCTGAACTAGGCAAAAGACTGGTGCTGGTGAGGAGGATGGTATGCAAGTTCCATTTGATCTGGGGGGAAGAAAAACAATGGCAATGTTGAAAATAAGTATCCAAGTACTTACATAATCTTTAAAGTACATCTAACTTGCTTTCATCATGAGAAAATATTATGGCATGGTTTCATAGCCCCTTATTTGCATTAAGAATCTCTTCTGAACCACTCCACACATACAACATTAAATACACGACATAATGCATTATGTATTACAAAGTGAAAGGGTGTTATCAAGGAAGTTTCTGCACTGCTAGAATACACTGCATGTTGTTTGTATTCTAATCCCTCCCCAAGAGCAAGAGCATGTGAAACATTTTGTTTTCATAGTCGGGGGTTTAATTACTGAAAAACAAATGGATATTTTCAAAAAAACAGACATTTAGATTGAAGAAGGCTAGGTAAAATAAATCTGCTTTATAGTTGGGATTGGATTTGGACGGTGAACTCTGTTGTGTCTTTGGAAAACTTCATTTTGCTGTTTGCAATCAGCTCTCTGTAAATTGTGTCCCGAAAAGACTCCCTTACTTCCACAGCCAAGAGTGCTGTTCTTGTCAACAACAGTTATTATCTTGAAGCCGTAGTTGTGCTGGAAATTATATTCTCTGAAGATAAGACTGAGATAATGACTTTAATTTAAATTCTATGGAAAGCTGGAGAGATTGGTTTGATATGCCTACAAATAGCTTGTGTTTCTAAGATCTGCCACAGCATCATGGACTTCTCAAAACTCCGTAAATATGGATGACATATTATCCATCCATACAGTAGAGCTGTAATCAGCTGAGGAATGACAAACCTGTGAATAAATAATGTCTGGTGGTTGGCCAGCAGCAATGACTGTTTCTTACAAAACTGGAATTTCTAGACAGTGTTGCAGTGTGAGAATGTAGTGCCACAGAGAAGGCCAAGAACACTCCTAAACTGCAGTCTGCAATAGGCTCTTGCATGTTTGCAACTTAAGAAACAAAATATTCTGTAAATAAGGGTTTCAAAATTGTTTTTTCTTCCATCAGAACCAGCTGTTTCACTCAGCTGGTTTTCACTGGGAAGCTTGTGGTTATTGGGTTATGATAATATATGGTTATTGATGGGTGTTGCGGGTCAGCCAAGCAACCTGTATTTGTTATGAGCAACAGTTAGTTAACAGTCATCCATGCAAGAGAAGTGGCTGCCAGTGTGTGATTTAAGAGTCCCTAAGCAGAACAAAAAATAAGGAAAGCTAAGAAAGGTGTTCTTGGAAAGAACAAGGAGAGGGAAGCATTACCAGCCTAAAAAAAAAAAAGTAGTGACTAAGTTCTAAAAGGTGACCAGAGTCAGGAGCCTCTGAACATTTTTGCACCTAAGACAGGTATGTGCATGGATATCTTAAATTTATCCCAGGTT